GAATTAATTAGGAAGTGAAAATTAGCAAGATTCTGCCATAGTATGATGATGATTTTCTTAAGAGGAAAATTCAAGAGATTTGACTTCCAAGGCTGGATTTGCAGCAAGCCTTCGAAAATAAAGGCTCTGTCTGTATTCATCTCTTTTATACTTATAAGGTCAATAACAACAATAATAAATGGAAGGGTCAGATCACAGAAATACACCAGAAAAAAAAAGTCTTTAATAGCTATGACAAGTGAATTTAAGCTTCCATTAGAGGACTGTCATGAAAACCTGGGTAAAAACCCCTCAACTAAATGAAAGACTGTCATTTAGTTGAATCTTCTTTTCAAAAATGGATGTCATTGCTTAAGAAATATCTAGAGATTAAAAAGAAAAAAGATGTTAAAGATATTTTCAGATTAGTAAATACTCGCAGGCTAACCTGATTTTTGAATGTCTTAGCAATGTCAAAGTCTTGAGTCCTTATGTTGAGACTAATTCCTGAGATCTCATATACATTTTTGTCTAGAGGTCTGCTTAATTTCAACGATATACAGAGGCTGTAACTTTCATCAAGTGGACCAAATGATACTACATTTGCAGAAGAAAGAAAATTCATCTTTTACTGAGACTGCTCAGGATGCAATTGGGGAAAAAAATTAGTTGCACTCCAATTTGCTGCTGGGATCATAGTGGAAACAGACAATTAAATGAATGCCAGTGAGATGTGATAAGTGCAATAAAAGAAATATTTCTAAAGTGCTATGGGAAGGATCACTAGTTGGTCAGATTATGAAAAGCACTTTTTTTTCTTTTAATTTTTAATTAAGTTTATTGAGGGTAACATTGGTTAATTATATAATTTTCAGGTGTACATTATTGACATCTGTATATTCTATTGTGCGTTTATCACCCAAAGTCCAGTTTTCTTCATCTACCATATATTTGATCTCCTTTACCTACTCCACCCTCTCCCTAAACCCTGTATTTGACCCTCTTTACCCTGTCTACCTCCTGCCTCCTCTCCCACCCCACTAGTAACCACTAGTGTATAGTCCTCTGGTAACCACTAGCCTATAGTCCATGTCCATGAGTCTCTGTTTGTCCTGCTTTTAGGTTTATATCCCACATATAAGTGATATCATGTGATTTTCAACTTTTTCTGTCTGGCTATTTTGCTTAGCATGATTATCTCGAGGTCCATCCATCAACCAAAGTGTCCTATGATAGATGATTGGCTAAAGAAGCTGTGGTACATATATACAATGGAATATTACTCAGTCATAAGAAGATATGAAATACTGCCATATGCGACAACATGGAAAAGCATTCTTAAGGAGACATTTCAGCTGAGTTGGGGGAGAAGAAGGCTGCCAGGTAGAGAAAGAAAGAAGATCAAGGAAGATGAAACTTCTGCCAAGGCATGAAGCCTGGCTCGGAGAGAGCCGTCAGAAGGTCGGGGGAGCTGGTGTGCCAGGTGCATGTTGGGGTCTTCTAGAAAATAAGCCTGAAGAAGTAGGTTGAGATCAGATCTGAGGGCAATGATGACCTTTGTTCTATAAAGTGAGGAGGAGCCAATAAAAACAGTTAGGACAGGAACTTACATGATGAAATTTGATATTTAAAAACCTACCTCAGGCAGTAGCAGCTGAAGGCTAATTTAGAAGTTAATTAGAAGACTGTTGCACTAATCTAAACAAAGAGATTGAAGAGTCCAAATGTAGACAGCAGCATTGGGTCTAGGAATCAAGGTATGAATTTGTGAGCTTCTGAAGTAGTGGTAGACCTTTCCCAAGGGCAACAATTGACATTCATACTTGACATTTAAACTTGACATTTGAAGAATCTGAGGCAGACGGTTATATTTAAGAGTTATTTTTATTCAATATGTGGAAAATGTATTAATCTTATTTAACAGATACTTATTCAGGTTACTTTTAAAACATGTAAAATGTGTTGAATGAGTCTCACTTTCATAATTATATGTGTTATAGTACTCCAACTGGTATATTAAACATTGTCTCAGACTATAATTTGATGTTTCTTAAATAGCAACAGAATTACTCATCTAAACTTTCTTCTTCATATGTTAAGGCAATATTATTTCTAAAAGCCCTATTACCCATTAATTCAACTCCGTGAAGATTTATGAAGATCCTTGTGAAAGACTTTCATGTGCTATCACTAAGTAAAACATTATATTTGGTCCTGAAGAGTCAACTGACTTGTGACCAGAAATACAAAATCATCGCTAGAGAACAAATTTTAAGTCCAGCCAATAGGCCTCAGTTATAGATAATTCATTCATTCACTCATTTGTTGCATACCTAGGCACCATAAATACAAAGATCAGCATGTAAGTGCTATAATGAAGACTTGAGACTTAACTAATTAACTCAAAAACAGAGACAGTTCCATATCTCAGAGATCTCAGGAAAGAATGACCAGAGCCTTGATGATTATGAGTTTGTGAGTTAAACAAGACAGTGACAAAGGAGACTACACACATGGCAGCCAACTGGCAAAAAGACTCTTGACTAATATTCCAATTTGGGAAACTCTGAGAACTAGAATATAAGATAAGTTGAGGTAGCAGTATGAGATTAAAAACACTTTACGTCATGCTAACTCTTGATTTTATGCTATAATAATGAGGCGCTGAAGAATGTTAAGCAGAAGGTAAATGCAGCAAGATTTAAATTTTTCAAAAGATTATGCAGGCTATGGAAAAAGAACCAGAGAGAATGAAGAAAAGAAGCTAACCCAAGGTGGGGGCAGCCAGTTAGAAGGCAGTTACAACAATCAAAAGAAGAAATAATAAGAAACTGAATCAAGGCTGATGCTGCAAAACAGGTGGTAAGTGGGAGGAAAAAATATAACGAGACCAAATAGATGAGATTTAATGATGAAGGGTATAAGAAAAGGGGAAAGACTAGGATGATTTCAAGTTTATGGGTGGCCAGGGATATGATGTCATAAACTGAAATTGAAAATATAGAGGGGCAAATCAGCAAAGGAAAATTATTTAATGCATATTAAAAAATGTGACATGACATGCCAACCACTGAGGGGTGTGCCACTCAGATTAAGAGAACCTGCTTTGGGAAGCATAGCTGCCCAACAGTGTCAGCTGCTGTCCGTTTGGCTCTTCAGAGGTCATGTTTCCACTTGGGGCTGCCTACTAAAGCCAGCCCATTCCCATTCCATAGAGGACACTCCTCTAATGGGCAACTTCTGCTCAGGGACTCCCCATCCGCCTGCCAGAGGCTTTGCGAGAACCATGTTGCAGTCTAAGGCTCTTTCTACCCAATCTGTCTTTTTCTCTCCCCTCTCACAGGTGTCAGACATGCATCGTGGTCAGAAGATCTCCCTGCCTACTTCTGTTCCTTCTTTATCCTCGACAAACATTTCCCTCAATAAATCTCTTGCATGTTTAATCCCATTTTGACATGTTTTTTGAAGGAGTCAAACTGACACAAGGCAGTATGTAGGACATCAAGTAAGCAGTTGGGGTACAAATTTAGGAATAATTGTGCGCAGGAGTCACTGAGCCTTTGGGTGAACCTGCTCTCAGGGTACAGACCCTGAGGAGCACCCTGCTCCTGTATAATACATTGCTACAAGTGCTAACAGCTGGAGAGTGATTTTGGTAAGAGGTAAACAACATAAGATATTTGGAATAGTTCATGTGGATGAGGTTTTAGACAGTTTAGATTATAATGTAGCACGAGAAACCGGAGATAAGAGGAATTTTTAGAGTACATTATAGTCCTAACTTTAATCTGTGTACAACTAAGTGACATCCTATAATTCTGGCAGCTTCAGACCAGTGTTGAAATAGAAGAACTGGACTATGGGTTTGCTCTATCCTTTCCAAGGTCAAGATACTAAGTATAAAAGAGGAGAGGACAAGTTGACATTCTGCAGTATTTGAGAACTGAGTGTTCCTCTGATTAGTGGAAGCCTTTCCAACAAAATGCTATTTTACTCTGCCCCAATAACATACACTAAATCCCTTTAACACTGTACCTGTGAACATGTTTTTAAAGCTTTAATTGGCTATATAGATGATTACGGTTGTGATTATTTGTGTTGTAAAATATTTTAATACTTGTTGTCTCAACCTTACCTTGAACTTCTTCCATTTCCTTTGTAATTTACACACAGTTGAAACCAAGTGTTGTTACTAATGATAATAATGATGTAATTTTATTCATACACCATACAAAAATTACTTCTCCACTCAAATGATCTAAATAGCTGGATTCTCTAAGTGATTATGACTTTAAATGTTTAGGTTTGCAAAAATCACTATAGTAAACCATTAGTGTTTAAGCCACATAGGCTGCCAACACTGAGAATACACCCGGTTCTCGTGGCCTAAAGATATGCTCACCTAGGTAAAGGGCATCTGATATGCCTCAAAAAGAAAAAAAATAGAACTATAGTTCTTAGAAAACATCCATAGTGTGTAGATAATGCATAGAGAGAAAGAAAGAAGCCAAGATAATTAAATTTATACTGCAAAACCATGGTAATAATTCTTCTAGTCTATGTCTAGAGTGTATGTCTACACTTATCTCGGAACAATGGTGATAGTTATATTACATAATCCATGCAGTCATACTAATCAAGATGATGTAAAAATTGTGGGTCAATTTCAAATAACTACACTGACAGTAGAATTCAAACTTAAATTTTCCTTACACCAGGAGTTCAAATTACATTATATATATTTGCCTCTAATTAATATATCAGAGGGACCATAAAGAGGCTAGAAATGTTTTTATAGTCTAAAATCACCTTTCATCCAAGCATTAGTAAAAACGTGTAGTTTTACATAAAACCTTTTACCTCTCTTACAGTCTTCTTATCTGAAATGAAATAACTCAGAAATCACAATCATATATTTAGTGTATTGCACTTGGGAAAAACTGCAAAGGTATGCTTTTATATTCTGTTAACTGTCATCTTAGAATTGGTCAAATTACATAAGGAAACATAAAATAATTTACCTTTTTGAGCTTCTGGATCCATTAAACGATGAACTAATGAATGACTATACATTGAAGTTTTCTTGATCATTTCTTGAAAACTAGGCAAATAATACATTAAAATAGCAAATGGCAGCAATTAATTCAAAATGTGCTGAGTGTTCTTCTATTTACCTAATAAAGTTTAACTTCAACTATAGTAAGGAAATTATATTAAAATCATATATTAATAAATCATGCCTTAATAAATACCATGGAAACACAATCTAGTACAAATCAAAATTCAAACAAAGGCTTCAGAGTCAGAAATTTTAGAATATACTGGAGAAAGAAAACACATTCACACCAAGGGCTACCTCAGTTATCACAAAGAAAGACATCATCTTTATAACGAGTAGTCAGATAGTAATCTTAAAACTTAACAGATAATTAAAATATTGGGAGAAATGGGCTCCATTCAGTGTAGTAAAAACCATAGTATTAATCTAAAATAAAGCTTTTTACACAGCAATAAATTCAAAGTTCACATTGTTGCCATCAATATTTCATTAGCACATACCCAATGTGAAACAGCCCAACTGTCAAATGGTCTTTTAAGTAGCTTCTACTTTAAAGAATCCATACTATCTCAGCAAAATACTTAAAACTGAAGAAATTATTTTATGCCTCTCAGAGCATATCCTGTGAATAAGCTTAAAAGAGCCATTATTCCAACTTTGGAAAGCAATGATTTAATATCTTACATTTCAATTTTGGGTCACATAATAATCACTGTACTACCATGAATTTATATATCACTCCTTTCTTCTAAGGATCGTAAAACATTTTTCACAGCCAATTTTTCTTTACAGTAAGTTAGAAGACAAATTATTTTTCCTACAGTTTACAAATGAGGAACTATTTTTATACCTAAACTAAATTACATCCCGGGGGTCACATGGCTCAACAGTAGCAAAATTGGTCCCATTTTGTACTCAATTTAGTTTCTCTTCCATTAAAGAAAGTGGCCTTTATTACACATGTCTGCCTGAAGGTAAACATTTATTAAATATTAAGTCTGGACATACCTAAATGAGTTAGCTGTTTCTGGAAGGTTAAAAGGTATCATCCACAACTTTTGTTTTGCTGATGAGATTCTGATAGTGCCTGAAAGGCTAGCACCACGCAGCTTGCTACTGTACACAATGGCAGTGAGTCCTCAACGACGAGATTAGGATCCTGACAGCTGCAGCTTTAGAGCCTCCAGTTATACAATGAAGTGGGAATGCCCATAACTACGGGCAGAACAGTGGGAATAATCCATGGGAGTGTCCCGAACAGTGGGAATAATCCATGGGAGTGAGAGTTAATTGGTGAGTATAAACCACTCTTGAAAGTGAGTGAAGACTAAGTGAAGCAATCCATTTTTTAATTTTGATGCCAAGAGTTATTTAAAACTCTTTATGACGTCCTCACAAAGCCCACGTATTTCACATGTCATATGTCTGGGTGCAAGCATCGTTTTCAGAATCAGACAACCACAGCAGAATGTTTTGAGAATATGTGCAGCTGTACTCTGGACACAAGAATCAAATTACCAAGATTCCTTCCTACACAGACTGAATAGGAAGGCTGAGGGTTATCGTCCACCTGTGCATCTGCCAATGTGCTTGCAGAGCTGCATCTCAGAGTACATATAAAAATCCCTGTTCACTGAAAATATCCTTTTCTAATTAAATTTACTGGGATGTCATTGGTTAATAATTCATTTTCAAGTGTACATTATAATTCAGCATCTGTCTTCTCTATTGCATGCTCACAACCACAAGTCGTTTCCTTCCACTACCATATACTTGACCCCCTTTATCCACTTCATCTTCCCCCAAACCCCTTCTTTGGTAACAATTCTGCTGCTTGTATCTATGAGTTTCTGTTGTTAGTTACTTTTTGTTTTACATTCCACATGAGTAAAAGCATAGTTTTTGTCCTCTTCCGTCTGACTTCACTTAGCATAGTACTCTTAAGAGCCATGTTGTCGCAAATGGCAGTATTTCAGCTTTTTCACGGCATAGTATTCCATTGCATGTTTATATGTCTATCAATGGACACTTAGGTTGTTTCCATGTCTTGACTATTATAAGCAATGCTGCGATGAACAAAGGGGGTACATATATCTTTGTGAATAAGTGTTTTCATATTTTGGGGGTAAACACCCAGAAGAGGAATTGCTGGATCATATGGTAGTTTATTCAATAAAAATATCCTTAATACCAAGTTATCGTAGGTAACAAAATCAAGCACTACCGTAAAGTTAAATAAACTTGAGAGAGTGAGTAGAGCTACTAAGAAATACTTTATATACTATGATGTATACAAAGCTGAATTAATGTCACCTTAATGTATTGGACAGGACTAGTAATCTGGGAGCCTGACTTTAGTTATTCCCATTAATAATCAGCATGTGATTTGAGGCCTTTACTTAAGTGTATTTCTTGGTTTCTTCATCTATAAAATGAATATAAAAGGCACACAACATGTATTTGTGGGATGAATATAGTAGAAGAAAATATTCTGGAAACTGCAAAATTCTATACAATGAAATTATTCATAGGCAGTTAATTCTGGGCAGAGAACATGCTTTCTTTTTGGCTCTTTTTAACACAAGAATAAAGAATCATTTGGTGAATAAAAATCACCTGTCTTTTTCAAGGAGCTATTTAAAAGATCATGAAACGTCAGTGCTAGATTTTTGAGAGGCAGAATCCCTAAATCAATCATCTAAACTGTCACGATGACAATGATTATTTCAATTATATTGTACTGTTTTAAAAGTGCATAAAGACTTCTGTCTCCAACTTTAAGTAACTTATAGCTCTGCTTATACTGACTACAGCAAATTTTACACACACACGCACGCACGCATCAGAGAGCTGCCAAAGCAGCCAAGAATTCCAAGCTTTTGCTGATTATTGGTGTAAAGAGGCTGGGTGGGGAGCCAAAGAGAGGACAACATGGAAGGATGCTGGCAAAGCTTGAGGGGATCTCAGAGAACTGGGGAAACAAAAGCAGTGTTTGGAGCTGGCAAGGCAACTAGGAATTGGGGGCCCAAGATCCCAGAAAGGGACAGAGAAATAAGCCTAACACTCAGCACTAACTTGTCACTCAAGGTATTTATTCAGTAAGATATATGGAACAAGAAGCTAATCTTCCAAGCATTTAGTGGCTAAAAGCAGAGCAAAGCTCAAGAGAAGAAACACCCTGTCAGGTGGCACTCCTAGAAAACTACTTTTTAGGAATGGGGAGGGGACTAAAAGATGGTTTTACAAAGACTGTAAACCAGCCTTAAATCCACTTAGTTCTGATCAGAGTGAGGTGATCTTCCCCTCTTCTGCCTGCCAGGATATCTTCTGGAATCCTCTCTAGAGGAAGATCCAGAACATCTATAATTTTTAATACATAATGTCCAGCATCCACTCAAAATTTACTAACCATATCAAGAAGAAGACAATAGAAATCCACATGTAACCCAGACATTGAAGTTGACACAGACTTCAAAGTAATGGTGATTAAAATATTAAAAAATTGATGACACGAATTATACCAGAGAACTGGAATCTATAAAACTGAGTCAGACAGAACCAAACCGCAAATACAATGAAATAAAGAACTCAGCAAATGAGTTTAACAGCAAATGTAGAGAAAAAGAAAATATTAATGAGCAGAAAAATACTTTTATCAAAAATGTATATGATGGTCATCATCTTAAATAAGTTATAGGTATACCAAAATGCTTTGTATAATGCTTTGCTGTTGTTTGTTTTATATGTAAAATAGCACCTTGAATTTTAAGCTGGAAGATCTGAGTTCAGGCCATAATGTTTTCCTACTAGATGTATAAATTTGGTAAAATTGGTTAACATCTCTACACTTGTTTCTTCCCTTGTAAAAAGATATACCTTGGTCACAGGGTTAAAGGAAAAAAGGATATAATATCAAACTTCTATAAATACTATACATATGACATAAGCTACTAATAGTCTTGAATATTCCTTTTTCTCCTCTTCCTGGGTACACGGCCAGGAAGAAATGACATTGAATATTTCTAGTATATTCTGAAGAACATGCTCAGTTCAGGTCAATGGGATGGGAGCAAAAGTGATTTTTCTAGTCACTTTTAATATAAGGCATTCTATTTGCCCTGGACTGTGGTTATTTCCTCTTCCAACAGATAGAAATGCAGACGTAGCAGTGACCCAGTATAGACCATTTAAATGAGACAGCAGCCTAGGTAACAGCTGAAGCTGAGACCCTGAATTTTCATGTTGCACAACTGCATTACCAGCCTAGACTGGCCAGTAAGAGATAAATAATGTTCCAGCTTACTCAGGCCACTATATATGAACATCTTTGTTACAGCAGCTTAGCTTTTGCCGCATTTATTACAGTGCAAAACAAATGTAAATTATTGACCAAAGGCAACAAAATTTCTTTAGCAAAACTATTATCCTACCTACAAACACAAATGCAAAAAACTCCCAATTATAAGTAGCTTTGAGAAATGAGAATAACATGAAAAAGTTAATGTCCCCCTCCATCTCCAAAACTGTTCTGCTTCAAATTCCTCTAGAGGAAAGAAGCATTAAATTTAAGTTTATGTGGAAGTTACTATTGACTTTTGAAGAAGGCTGCTAGAGAAGATAGAAGTAGAAAACATATTCTGAATTAGGAAGGAATAAATAATGGGCAAACAAAAACAGCAGCTATAGATAGTCCAAGTATTTGGGAAGTTGGGCTGAAAAGTAAATGTAAATGAGAGCCTATAAAAAGTATCCAGGAGTCACTCAAAGTTGGTTAAAGGTATTTATTTGTTTTTGGTTTTCATTGGTGAAGATTTTCAACTATTTGAAGATTGAGGAAAGGAAATCAGTAGAGATGGAAATACCAAAATGCCAGAAAGACACAGACTTGAGAAGAGAGGACCTGAAGGCCAAACGGCAATTGGTAATACTATCCTTGAGAGGTCTCAGCAGGAGGCATCATAAACGAACCTTACCTGGGCCGCTA